AAATGTTTCCCATACCATACCGTCAACCGGGGTAACTTCGGACGATTTTAGATATAAAATGTTTGACTGTTTCTTTAAAAGCAATTCAAAATGCTTCATTTTGTGTTAATCGAACACTCTAATAATGATGAACATTAAGACATACTGGTCTTAAGCTCTTCTATGGATTATTACCTTAAATAAATGGTTTAAAAATCAAAAAATCAAATTCAGAAAATGGGGTAACTCCGGACGCTTAATGATAGGATTTTAAAAGTTGAATTTCTAACTTGAGTTTGAAATTCAACTTTTAAAATCCTATCATTAATCATTAACAATGAGTTCAGCATTATCTTAGTAACATGTAGCTTATTAGCATGTATCTTACTATGGCAAAAAGCTGTTTCATTTAAAGAGAACAGTCCTATTTTATATAACAGAACAAAAACAAAACTATTGATAAACTAATAATTTATTTCAAATATACTTATATATAAAAAATAATAATTAAGAATCAATATTTTTTATAAGGATTATACATTTAAATTACTCATTACTGTAAAGTGAAAAATACAGAAGTCATTTTGCCTTTAAAAAAATACAAGGCAAATTATTGTTTTTGGCATACAAGACACTCAATCGACATCTTCCAAACACTTTGAATGATACCAACAACCGCAACGTTTACAGCCAGTCCAATCAACTGAAACTTCTTTTTCTTCTTCAATGATTTCACCGGTTTCTTTATCGTCTTCTTTTCCACAGATGAAACAAATATCAGTGTCATTATCTACAACAACATTTAAAACTGCCCCTGATGCAATGTTTGACTTATTACCCCTGTGTTTTTTTGTTTCATATGCGCCACAATTAGACATTAACAAAGTTGTTACTGAATCGTTTAAAATAGTTTTTGTTAATGCTCCTGGTGTCTGGAACTCTGGCATCTTTTTTAAAATGATCATACGATTTATAAGATAGCTTGCAACTTAAAAGATAAACTTTTCAATAGACCTGTAAAATGTTCTTTAGGAAAACATCCAGATTTTCTGCTTTGTTTCTTCCATTCAATTAATACTTGCCCCCAAAAACGCTTCATAGGACCATAGACAGATACATCTAATGGCTGCATTATATGTGTGGCATTTGGTGGCAACATAACAATGTAAACATTATGCTCCTTGGCTAGTTTTATAACGTCTGCATAAAAATGAGAGGCCAAATTATCTCCTAAAAGTCGTTTGGGCCCATTTAAACGCTGAGCGTTTGGCAAGAAGCATGCTTTAAACCGTTTTTCGAAGGTTTCTATTTCAAACCAACCTATTTTTGTACAACTGTAGGCTGTTCCCTGTGGCCCTCCTGTCACCCAACCTTGATATATATACAATGCTTTGTAAACTACCATAGGTGGTTGCATTACTCAAGAAGCAGAACCACACCACATAATAGATATCGAAGTTTTACTACGTTCTTGGATATTTTCAACACGTCGTCTTCCTCTTCGAACTAAAACAACCTTTTTTCCAGGATCATCTAAAAGATTTGTCTCGTCGAAATTAAATATATTTGAAGGTGGAATATCACCAAATAATTCATAGGTTTTTTCAAGTTCATCAAAGAAATCTGTTATAATTTCAACTCCTAACTTTGACCTTGAACGTTTAATATTAGAAGCATTTCGGCCAGTAATTTTATTTCGTTTCATAAAAGAATTTAACCAGTCATCTCCAGACATCTTTAACTTGGAATTGTTTAACCCATTACGATTTTTGAGTAAATCGAAAGCCATCATTCTAACTTCTAATCTTCCAATAGGAAATCCCCAATCAGCAACTGCTTCTATCATTTGAGCATTGAATACTTCATCTGTAATGCTTAGAATTGTAGGCCTTCCAACCTTCTTTAATTTAGAGTTTCTAATGTGATCATATAATGTGGATTTTTTAACATTATTCTTTTCTGCAGCTTTCCGAATACTCATGCCTTTACCATAGTCTTTTAATGCTTTTTGAAGATTTTCTTTGGAGCTTGTTCCATACAACAATGTTAAGTTTTGCTTACGTTTGTAGGTTCGCGTCATTACTACAAGATACAGAAAAGGAAGAAAAAGAAACGCTCTGTCCGGAGTTACACTGCAGTCCGAAGTTACCCCGGTCGACGGTAGTAAACGAATCGAAAGATACTTATTAATTATCTTTTTTAAGAGTTGAGAGGAGTGCATATCTTCAGTTAAAAGTTCATGATCTATAGATCATGAACTTTTAACTGATGATCATGCTCATTCAGTTCACGAAACAATTTTTCACGAGCAAACTCTTCATTAAGTTTATAAAACATTAAGGACTTTAAGTTTTTTCGAGAAGAAATGGTTTACATTTTTGAATTTATGCTTATAACAAAAGCTCTAAATATTTTCTCACTTTTTTCAATAATTTTAATGACACTAGTAGACGGTATATTTAATCCACAGTAGTTCTTTAAATTTTATTAAGGATAACCAAGATGATTTGTAAAATGTTGAGTAGGTATGATCACAAACTACATTAAATGGTTGATTAAGTGCTTCAGCACATATGCAACAAGTTATTTTTATCAAGGCTATTTGATAAATTTGCAACCATATTTTTATCTTCCTCTTTAATTTCTGTTTCTATGATCGGTGATCGTGTTTTGCTCCACTTCAATGAAAATATTGATCCAGCTGAATTTTTTTCAAAAGTGAGGCAATTTGCATGTTGTGAACCTATCAAAAAGTTTCGCAACATAATTTTTTTTAAGCTTGACTTCAATTGGATAACATTTGGATTATTATTAAAACCATTTTTGCCTCGAATACAAGCAAACAGCAGTTCTAGGTGATCTTGAGACATTTTGTAGGTCAACACATATTTAAACGAACTTTCCAATCTTTATAGCAAATAAAATGACAATTCTCTGATACTTATTGCAGAGGTAATAAAACCAATAACAAATGTTTTTCTTCTTTGTTTAAGAATTTAAGTCCCATGTTTATCTGTTAAGTTAGCAAGATATTGAATCGCTTTTTCAATAATACCAAATCAATGGATTTTATCATTAAGAAAGAGAGGTTATTTCAAATCTTTGCCAAATGGACTTCTTGAATTAAGTGAATCAAAAAGCTGATTTATTGTTTTTATAAAATCTAATGTGCCTTGAGCATCGTGAAAAGAGGGATGCCCAGATAGCATTAAAAACTCAATAGCATCTGCTAGTCATCAGCTGTCTGCTACAGAATTACTGAGTGTTTGGGCAGCTATTTTTACATTTCATTTGTTTCTGAAAATTAATATGGCTATTGCCAAGTTTATTAGCAAACTTTAAGCCAAGCTTCCCTTGCAAATTTTGCAGAACTGTAATGTGCTCCCACTTTACAAACCTATTTTGACTATCAATAAACACACCAAGTTCACACAAAGCATTTCGTGCAAGTTTTAGCATATGGCAAGGATCAGGAATAAAATATATATTGTTATCATAAGATTCGATATTAAAATAAGCTTTAATATTTTCAACTTTATCAAATGAACAGCCAAGACATTGCATTAAAATTGACAAAAGCTCCATCACAAGTTATGCTGTGAACAGCAATACTATGTTGAATACACAAATTAACTGCTTTAGTTAAAAAACAACTTAAGTTTGTTGTTGAAATCTTTTCACACAGAACATAACAAAAAGGACATTTCCAATGACCTCGAAGTCCAACAAGCATAAATACAAGAGCCTCAGTAGCAATGCTATCTGGATCAAAAGCAGATATATTGTTTCCATAATCTGAAAAGCCTTCATAGTTACCATTACTTGGATTATAGACAAGATCTGATTTTATATGCATGGCATCAAAGATCAATGCACAATCTTTTTAGGTAACATCTTCTGATCCTTTTTGTTTTAAGAAAGAAAAAACATCCTTAAAAAAACCAGGTGAACAATCAATAGACGATGACCAATTTGCTAGAGAACTAATACAAGGCAAAGCAAACAATGATCTAACAAAAGTATATGCACGAGGTGAATAAAAATGAAGCGTTAAAGCCAATTTCTTCACTTCTTCTGAATATCTGTAACCTCGAGGATCATTGCATTTATTCATTAGTTAATTAAAGTTGATGTCAACGATTTTTTTTAGTTTTATTGCTTGAATAACGGAAAATTTGGCTGAGTTTTTAGCGTAGCATCTTTGTATAGGAGGTGGAGGAGGGGGGGGGAGGGGAGGGGAGAAAGAAGCTCGTTTTGTTGGCACAACCCATTTTTGACAAAGATCGTTATTTTTTAAAGGGAATTTATGAAAGGATATTCCAATACCTTTAACAAATCTGTTTGTACAACCATAAGCAGAATAAGATATAATCATTTCTTAAGTAACAAAAGTGAAATAAAAAAATTATAAACCTCCTTACGTTTTTTGCCAGTATACAATATGGCCGAATTTGCCTCACAACCGCGGCTCGAGTTAGATATCTACGTAATATATATCATTGACCCTACCACCTTGAAAAATTCTTTTTTAATGCACCCTATTAAGGACAGTGAACTTTTTTATGAAAACTTTCATAACTTGAGCTTTAAATCACGAACAAATTTTAAAAATTATTAAAAGCGTTTTTAATGCATATTAAGGTCGTAAACATTATTAAAAGCGCTATTCAGACTTATTCAGATCGTAAACACAACTAAAAAGGTTTTTTTAAATACACATTGTAAAAGCAAATTCAAAATATTTTAATTTTTATTGAGACAGTTAAAAAAAAAAATGTATAAAAAAAGTGGTTTCTGAAATCTTATTAAAAATATATATATTTTAAGCAGAAACTAGAGCTTTTTTGATCAAATATAAAAATATCTTTTTTAAAAGGTTCATAACATATTAATCAAGGTTGCGTAAAGCTAATCGCATCAAGATCCTTATTCAAATTTGAACATTTAAAAAGCTTTTATATAATAGTGCTCAGAAGTAGAATTATAGGCTCGCTCGCGAAAATAAATTACACATTTAAGAATTAGTATAAAGCTTGTAATGAGCTTATATAATCGCAGTAATATCCGTAAGAAAAAAAAAGTAGTGATACTTTCGCCGTTAAATCTTTCGAATGTTGTTTGTTTACCTCAGCATAAACCATTTATCATTGACGCTAAATTAACAAAATCAGAAAATATCGCTTCAATATTTAAGCAAACGAAAAATCCAAAGCCAACTTTCGAAACAAAAATTTTCATGCATTCTAAAATTAAAAAATTATTGTGTTGAAAACTTAAGAACTGGAGGTGGCGGAGGAGGAGAAAGATGCTGCAAACGATTATCCCCAATTACTCTATTTTTGTGCTGATTACTTTTTGTTGGAGTTGATAGCATCGTCGTAACAGGAGTAGGAATTACAGTACTTGAAATAGGAGGTGGTGGAGGCGGTGGTGGAGATTTGTCAGATAAATTATCTGGTTTTGAATTTAGACGATTATGATTGGTATTCACGTGTAATGTTTGTTGGTTATTGCTAAAATGCTTAGTAACTTCATATTTTTTAGTTTGTTCAGAGTTTAGTTTAACTGGAACCTTTTGAATCTCGTGGTTATTTAGGAGTACTTGATTGTGATCAGAACTTAACTTTTGTTTTTTAACAGGACTTTCTCTTATTTCATTCGGAATAGAATGTTTTCTAACTAATCCAGGTTTAATGTCTAATTTATTATGGGAATTAATATTCGCATCTCTTGCTATTGACGCTCCAGATGCTTTTCTCTTTAAATAGAGTTGGCGCTCCCTAATTTTCCATTTTTTATAAGATTCAATTTGCTCAGGAGTCATTTTTTTTTTGTAATCCTCCCATTGTTCGGGAGTCATTTTTTGTTTTAATAATTCAAAATTGATTTGTGTACCTTTTTCTACAATACTTTTAGAACCATTTTGAGCATGAAGTAAATTTTGTACTTTGTCCTCTGCTTCGCTCTTTGGATTAGCTTTAAGCAGTTTACTTGACTGGTGCAAACTTAAAGTTCTATTTGGTGGAGGAGTTGCTTCATGAGAATGAGGTTTCAGATGACTTGTTAAATTACTTTTTGGAAATAAACCGCTGTTTAGTCCATGTTTATTGGTATCAGATTTACTGTTATTTACGGTAGCTTTAGCAACTGTGGAATCAGTTTCCTCTAACTTTTTCGGCATAACTTTTCCATCCTAAAAAAACAAAAAACAAAGTTAAGCAACATAAAAACTCTAAAAAAACCAATTATTCAATAAAATAATTGCATTATTGAAAATTAATTTTTTAATTTTTCTTTAAGAGCAAACAACAATTAAGGCAGTTAATTAACATTAATCAAGTCAAAAATTTAGATTAAAAAATTTTAAATTTATTTATATATAGTGGATATACTGACAAAAAATGTAGCTCAAAAATCCCGGTTCAGAGAAATCAATTAAGTTTTCTTCCTATTTGATACTTTTATTATCTTATCAAATTGCATATGGCGTTGACATTTAAATACACCATAATGATAAGTGTTAATTAAAAAAATATTCATAAAAAAAAGCTAAAAAGATCTGTGCCTGACAAAAGAATAGCGAACTTAGGACAAAAATACCGTTTAACTTACGTTACACGCAGGTAAACAAGCAAAAAAATGTTTTAAATTTCAGGTCAGATTTCTGAAAATGGGTATAAAGATTTCCACTTAAACCAGCTCATATCTCTGCAAAGAAAAATATTAGTGAACTGATAATTTACAGAAAATTAGTTTATTGCTTGTAGCAGATAAAATAATAGTTAAACCCATATTTTATATTTATTAGTAAGTTCAGTAAAACCATGTGTGGCTATCGAGCATTATATCCGCAGAATTCATTTAATGCCTATATAAGACATGAGTAAATGTATTTTTTCTATATATGACATTAGATAATATTAGTCAATTTCCGAAAAGATAATATTAGTCAGAAACGATTGGCCTTATTTATATATGCAACACTATGAGCACGGAAAAGTTACAGGCCACCCTACCTTATTCTTAAACAGGTGATTAATTTTTTAAAATTTTTACTTTTAAACTCGAATTTGAATCTCAGAAGGTGTTGTTATGGCAAATTATAATTGAAAAAAGCTTTTTGATGGTCTAAAGTGAACTTTTGCCGCTGGTACTTTATATTAATTAACAATCCTAGAGGAAATGCTTTTCTATACTTTCATATATATTATACTGTTTTTTACTTAAGTACTAAATGCGATGTTCAATTAGTTTCTTTTTCATCCAGGTAGATATCATTTTTAACAAGGTTATCATTAGATCTTTTTTCTAAAATTATCTTGTACGTAGGGCCATAGAGTTTGCTTTTACCTGGGGTAAAAGCGACAAAACATTTAGGTAACTTCGCGTAGTTTTAGTTTAGATTAAATAAATTCAAAATTAAAATGTGCTTTAGCTAATCATCTTTATTCAAAACAGATTATATAATTAAATTACCGGTGAAAATAACACTTAACAAAGATGCATTTTATTATCAAAAATATATTTTTAATAAACTTTAATGTGCCTACTTTAAGACTTATCTGTTGAAGATTGACACACACATACAAAAAAAAATTGACTAGGGTCGTTTCCACACCTACCGTGAGTTGACACTTATCGTAGGTTTTACATACTAACATAAATTTTGCAAAAAGTAGTAGTTTTATATATACATATATATATATATATATATATATATATATATATATATATATATATATATATATATATATATATATATATATATATATATATATATATTATATATTATATATATATATATATATATATATATATATATATATATATATATATATATATATATATATATATATTATATATATATTGTGTATTAACAACATCGTCATACACTTCTATTACATTACCTAGAAACCGCAATACATAGTTACTTATATAAACTCAGTGGCTTATATAAACACAGAATGTTTTTTTTTGAGTATATTACAAACGTTTTTCATTCATTTTCATAAAAGAAGAAATTCCTTTACCAGTTATTATTTTTTTTGATGGTCATGCATCAAATTTTTTTATTGAAAAAGGAAGTTTTGCTATAAAAATGGAATAATTCTTGTTGTTTTGTTTTGTTCAAATGCAACACTTATTTTGCAGCCGCTCGATGTGGCAGTTTTTGGGCCAATGAAAGCAAAGTGGAAACCTTTTTACCGCAATGGTGCATTGACCATGAAGGACAAGAAATAAAAAATGAATATGTACCAGAAACATTAAATTCTTTTATAATTGATCCTTCTTTGGAAAATAATATTAAAAGTGGTTTAAAAATACCGGAATTTTTCCATTTGATGCTTATTGTGTTGACTACAAAAAAATTGCTCAAAAATAATCTGGGGCAACTGTTGCACCGGCTCCTTATTTAGAAGAGAAACATTTAAATGTGATTTTATCAGCTTCCTCTTCATAATCTTTATTGAAAAGTGCATTGATTTAAGTATTTTAGAGCAGTTTAAAATGGCTGACGAATATTTAGGTTGGAAAGGTTATCTTGAATACCTCCAATTGTATCATTTTTGGAAAAGAGGTAAAAGTATGGTATTATCTGAAGCATATAAGACCATTCAGATGTGGCAGCAAATTTAAAACATCTGAAGCATATAAGACCATACCTTTACCTGATGAAATACAAGAGGGTATAATTAAAAATCTATCAACAACTTGTAACTTGTAATTGAAAATGTGCAAGGTATAACCAATATGGAAATGCCTGATTGCAATAATGCAGCTGTAATAAAACCAAAACTAGCTTGTTTCAGTTTAAAAATAGCAGCAGAAATCATTATTCAAATTGAAAGTGTTATAATATAGCCAAAGCAACCATTCCAAATGTCCGAGTGCAAAGTAGAACATTTACCATCGGTTGTAACATCTGAAATGTGGCAGCTAATTCAGAAGACAAAAGTGCAAGAAAAGTCACAAATAAATGATGACAAATTAAGAAAGAAACAATTAGCTGCAAATAAAAAGTCAAAACTAGAGAAAGAAAGATTAAGAAAGCATGGAGAAAAAGTTATTAAATGAAAAAATTCAAAAAGAAAGAGAAAACATGAAAATTTTGAAAAAAAAAAAAGCTGCAAAAGAAAAAGAAAGCCTTGAAACTGAGTCAGAAAACGAGTTCCATTTAAATATTGATATTAATTATAAAATAAGATAGTTATGATGAAACTCTATCCTTTCCAGTTTAAGAACTTAAAGGATATGTACTAAAGTAATGGAATTGCTTTAAAATCTTTAGTTTTAATTCATAATAATATTTTTATTGCTATATAATTAATGTTTGTTTAACAGTCTTTTTTTTTATTTATACACATAAAAACATTTAATAAAATGTTACTAATGAATCAAATTTTCATTTGACACCACGAACGCATTTTACACGGAGCACTAAAGCAGATTTTAAAATATACGATAAGTGTCAACAATATATATGATAAGTGTGAAACACGATAAGTATGGAAAACTGCGCTTTAAAAGTTTGATCAAAATAAGTACATTAATGATTTAAATTTCAGAGTGAGAATTATTAACCCTTATAGTATTACATTGATTATATGATTATAGTATTATACTAACTAATATAGTATTACATTGATTATATGATTATAGTATTATACTAACCCTTATAATATTACATTGATGGCTGCAAAAATTAATTTCTAATGCATTTCTACTTTTTGATTAACCTAACATATTATAATAACTTTTGTTAAAAGGTAAGTGTGGAAACAACCCTACTTTACTATTTTCTGCTGCAGAACATGTCATTGTTTCACTTGTAAAAAGAACTATAACAATTCTTAGTTATTTATTATCAAGCCGATTATTGAACTTTAAACGTTGTGATGCTAATATGAAATCTCAATAACAACATATTCTAGCTTGGAATGGAACAATATCTCAACAAAATTGGTAATATACAATTATGACTAACCTTTTATTACAAACTGTTTATAACTTTTTTACGGGAATTATGTGGCCTTTTTAAAGGGACTACCAAGTCCCGAAACATGTTGTGTTCATATTAAAGAGAATGTTAAAAAAAACGTCTGAGTAAATTTTTTTTGATTAAAACTAATTAATAAATGTATACCAAGAAAAACAAATCTTGTTGTTTTAGTCGAAGCTCTTCTTCTCCGTTTTCTCTGGTATTTTGAGTATGTAAAATAAACGCGATTTTCCAGGCGCATTATACAGACTTGATAATTTATTCAAGCGCGTTTAATTCATAGGAGTTTTAGAGCATGACGTCATTGGAAACATTCTAGAAATTCTTTAAAAATTTTACTATTAAATTTTACTCAAATAGCTAACTATAGTTACTTATTTTATTTTTTTAATTGTTCGTTAGTTTTTTATAAATCTAACGAACAATTAATTAAACCAAGCACTAAGAAAAGATATAAAAATTAAGAATATACTAATAAAATATATAATTTGTAATTAACTTTTAGAATTTTGACAATTTTTTAACGTTTTTTTTTAACATTCTCTTTAATATGAACACAACATGTCTCGGGACTTGGTAGTCCCTTTAACTATCAAATGTTTATTTTCTCTGACATCATAAAAGTATCTATGATTTATTGAATATTGTCCTTTTTTTTGGCTGAATCGCCACACTATGCGTCGCGAAGCGGAAATAGGATTTTACTTACTTTTCAGAAAAAAAAATTCAATTTTAATATTTTAAATATTTTAACTGAAACAAGTTAGTATTAGTTAATAAAAAAAAGTTTTTTTTTAATTTTTTTAAATTTGCCTTTTTAGGTGCGGGATTTTCAGGGGTAAAAAAACCCATGTTTTCACTAAATCTTTAAATTACATAAGATAATTTTCAAATGTCTTCATTTTTTTTGCACATTTTCTAATAAATGATACATTTCGTAAATTAAAAACCAAGAAAAGAAAAAAAAAATGTTTGGATCATTGTTTTTGGGTGTCTGTAAAGATTGATCGATTAGACCATGTTACTACAGAGGTAGCCAGTTTTTTATTTTTTTAAAATTTTCTCAAACAAATTGACTTTTTATAAGTGAAATAATATTCTGGCTACCTCTGTAGTAACATGCTATAAAATCAATTCAAAAGAGGTGGATTTATTAAAAACCGGTTAGTTAGTTTTTGTCAAGAAGAAACTGGATGCGGGCGGAACATTCTTTTCTAGTCTTTAAGTTATAACCTCAGTTTGGCTCTCATCGTGATTTAGAATTTTTTAAAAATGGTTACTTTTAATCTTAGCAAACTTCTGGCTGATAATTTTCCTCCAAGGCATATTTTCACGAGTAAAAATGTATCTGAATGTGCTAAATTTTAGCAGTCCAAGTTTTTATCACTTTATGCTGATTGCACTGTGAATTTCAACATTTTCAAAAGTCTGGCTTTTAACTTAATAAAAAAATTTAATGAGTGTGGAAAAAGAAAAAAGTTCTTTCTTACTAAATATAAACATTTTTTGGATCAAAATCAACAATGCAAATATCTCTTGTGAGTTTAATATATTCTATATTGATTTATTATAAATAAGTAATAAATATTGCATTATAGTATATATATATATATATATATATATATATATATATATATATATATATATATATATATATATATATATATATATATATATATATATATATATATATATATATATATATATATATATACATATATATATATATATACATATATATATATATTATACTTGTGTGTGTAGATTAGAAAAAGATTCTAAAAAAGAGATTAGAACACATGAGGAAGAACTGCTATTAATTAGAAAAGGTGAAAATCTGATTAAACAGGGTAATCAACTCATCAAGCAGGGTGAGCGTAAAATAAAAGAAGGGGAATTACTGCTTCGTACTCATGGATCCAATGTAAGCAGGTATGCATAGATAAATGTATCTCCCTCTTTTTATTTTGCACACACACATACATATTGTTTGACTATGTTTCACAAAACCTTCAAAATGTATATATGTTTCAATGTATTTTTTTATTATTTATAGTGTACCATGTAGAGTGCCTAAATCATCTGCAGTCAATACATCTTGTACACCAAAACCTAGAAAGTCTTTTATTAAGTTTACAAACAGGATGAAGTGTAAAAGAACAGATAGTCTTAGAGAACGAGAGGTGGAAGAACTGCAACATGCTGTCAAAAGGTTTAAATCTAATTCTTCTACTGATGGTAGGGCTATTTTATATGGTTCAAATTTGTCATTGCAAGCTCTTTGTAATTTGAAACTTACAGATAGAAAATGGACTGAATTTAAAAATATAGTGACTCATAATCGTCATCTTGTTCCTCCAGGTTTAACCAAGTTGAAGCAATACAAAAAATTGACATATCCAGAACAGGTTGAATATTCTGAAACCGAAGTAAAATGTAGTCTTTTCCATATGATAAAGCATTCAGTTTCTAGAGTGTTTGAATATCTTTTGGATTATGAAAGTAACTGCATAATGAGTTTATCACAAGAAGAGCGTGATAATGTACAAATTATTTGCAAAGTAGGAGGTGATGGTCAAAGTGATCAATCGGAGTTTCAAAATTCAGCAACTATGAAAAGAGGTGTAGATGATCGCTCTGTGTATAGTATAGTGTTTGTACTGCTGGAGATCCGAAGTGGAGAAAAAATAATATGGAAAAATTTAATTCCAAATAGTCCAGATGCAACCCGTCATCTTCTTTTTTGTTTTGCAAAAGAGACTGCTAGTTTTATTCAGGAAAAATTTGAACATTTGAAAAATGAAACTTTTTTATTGAAGAATATTGAATTTAAACTTGGTGAAAGTACTTTTGTAGTAAAGTCTAGTTTGTCAACTATTTATACCACAATGAATGATGGCAAAACACTAAACGCTGTTGTATCAAATATGCTTAAAAAAAGAATTTCATCTCAGTCCTGCCATGTATGCCTTGCAAATTCTAAGGAGTTTAACTTGAAAACTATTTGGAAAAAAAATATTAACTTAAACAAGCATGTTTTTAAACTTGGAATTTGCAGTCTTCATCTATGGATGCGCTGTATGGAGTGGATTTTCAATACTGCTTGTAAACTCCCAGCTGTTAAGCAAGGAAGAAATATTCCATCACAAAAGAGTAAAGAATTTATTGAAAACAAAAGAAAATTCCAGCATTTATTCAAGATAAAACTGAATATAAGGGTTTCTTTTGTCAGGAAAGGATGTGGAACAACCAATACTGGAAATGTTGCTCGCAAATTTTTTAATAACCCCATTGTGACAGGGAGAATTTTAAACTTGGATATCAGAATGATTAAGTTGTTTCGAGATTTACTCATTGATATAAACAAAACAACTACAAGACCGGATATAAAGGTTTTCAAACAGAAATCTGAACATCTATTTGCACTCATAACTAATGATAAATTTTTAAAAACCATACCTATGTCACAATCTGTGCATAGAGTGATAGTTCATGGTACTTCTTTTATAAGGTATTTTAAGTATCCGATAGGTTCTTTGTCTGAGAGTGCTATTGAAGCCAGAAATAAGGAAAACAAAACTGCTCGAATTGGTCATGCTCGTTTAACCTCTTTTGCAGAAAACACTAGGGATACAGCTAATTATTTGTTTATGACATCTGATATGTACCTCTTTTGCAAAAAAAAATAAAATGGATAAAAAAAGAGTGAAAACAAAATAGTTTAAGAAAGCAAAGTGACAGTTCTTCTGATAACTGCTTAAAATAAAGGTAAAATAGTTTTATTATTAATATTGTTAATAGTTTTGATTGATTTTTTTTTTGGTTAGGCAATCTCATAATTTTGGTTAATTAACAATTCAAAGTTGCGTTTTTTTTTTTTTTTTTTTTTTTTTTTTTTTGTTTTTAAAAAAAAATTTGAGAAAAAATTTAATCAATTTTAACAAGCAATTAACTATTTTAGAAAGTAAGACCATGAAGAATCATACTGATGTTCTGCGTTGAATTTTTAAAAAACGGCTATTTTCAAAGCCACAAGTTATTAAAAACATCTATTAGAATAGAATGTTGAGAAACTGTAAAAGAATGCAAAGAGCCAAGTATCATATGATAGCAGAGTTGTTTATTATATTCAATGATACTGTTTATTTTGTAATAGTGTTCATATACATAGTTTGTAAAATTCTATAAAATATAGGCGCCTACTTTTTTTTGAATAAAATCATCCGGACTTGTGTAGTTTTCCGGACAAATCTAGAATTAGTCCGGACTAACCGAAAAAAAATACAATAAATTGTTTTTTAATGAAAACCGAATATGATTCTTTTAAATATAGAAATATAAATAAAAATTTGATGTCTTGTGAAAAAATAAGTTAAATATTCTAAGTCCTTCTTTATTTATATGCCTATTTCCTCATTTTGTATAAGAGCAACGCATAGTGCGCCAGTGGTGTACCCTCATGGTTGTCCAGTGGCGCGGGACAACTCATTTTTTCCAATAGTGACTGATTTTAAAAAACGTCTGTCAGTAGCCCGACAAGATGACTAGACAGTTTGTTACTTATAAGAGTATGTTTATTAATAAAACTATATTTTAATTGAAATAGAAAAGCATCTAGAAAAATAATACTTAAAATTTATTAAAGGACTTAAACAACTTCATAAAAACGTACCATACAAAAAGTTTAGCATTATGAAAAACAATACTAATGGTCCGTAAAAACGTGTTAATTATAAATTCAACTAATAAAAACTTTTTTATTGGTTGGTTTTAAAATTAAGGCACCTTTTTACGAACTATTAGTAACATTTTTCATAATGCCAAACTTTTTATAAAGTTTGTTTTTATAAAGTTGTTTAAGCATTTGTAAAAGTTCCTAATGTTTTTAATATTTGAATATCCGCTTTATATTTTCTAAATGCTTATCTACTTTTATTAAAGTTTAGAATGACTAATCTTATTTGAACAAAGAATGAACTATAAAAGTTATAAGTTCTTCATAAAAGTAATAACACTATTAGTTTTATTACTTTTATAATGCAGTTAGTGACTAGAGTGTTGTTACTTTTGCAGTCGTAAGTTTTTTTTTTGCTTTATAGCTTTTTCTTAAATTAGTGAAATTTTTAAAATTTTAAAAATATCACTAATTTAACCCGAGAAAAAATACTAAAAAAAAATTTTTTTTACACCGGACTACTGATTATTATAGCGGACAATTAAAAACTGTTTCAGTCGCCCGCAGAGCAACTTGGAAAAAATTGGAGGGTGCACCACTGATTGTAATACTACTTTTAATACTTTTTTGTTAACATAAATATTTTAATCTTATTAAACTGATTTAAATTTTTTGTATTATCATCAGTACTTTCTTTTTCTTATTATTGTTACTATAGTTATACTTTTTATAATGTCTACTATTTGAATTTTTGTAATTATTATTCTTATAACTATAACTATTTGGGTTATAATTACTGTATATACCTTTTATGTTTTTTTCAGAATATATTTGATTTACTTTAAGTTGTTACGTTTTTACTCACCTTATATACTACAGCTCCACCAGATGTTAATCGTTTCTTTAAACGTGTAGGGCTCGAATCAAGTATTTTTATAAAATATGAACTAAGATCTTCGAGTTGTTTTTTAGTTGTTGTATTCTCAATAAATTCAAACCAATTTTTACCTTCAGTTTCAGGTATCTATACAAAAATAGTAACTAATGTTATATAAAAAAATTAACTAACCATTAATTGCAAAAAAATACTAAATACTAATATACTCCAATACTAAAATATATTAGTGTAAGTACTCTGGAAATAGTAACAATTTTTTCCATTCAAATTTTGGCTATATAGCAGGTGCAAATATATTTATGTTATAGTTTAACATTTTGACTAAAAGAGTAATGTAGAAACACTAACCTAAATATTACACTATTATATTATTTAAAAAATAAGATTAATAAAGATATAAATTAATCCAATATTAAACAAATACTGCATGCTCATTTTGATATACTTCTTTACACATTCTTTATACATGACAGATGCTATGTCAAAATATAGTACATGAGTTATTTAGTCTATTTATATCTAGTTATTTGATTTAATTCCCTAAAGACTTGTTTTTTTATTTTGTTCATATATTCTACTATTGATAAATAAAAATGACCATAATAAAAATATTAAGGGATTAAAAATAATAAAGAAAAAAAAAATACATTAAAAAAATAAGACATGGAATAATTTTTTACCAGCGTTGCAAAAAAAATTTGAATAATTGTTCCACAAATTTTCAAGTACATTAAAAAAGGATTTTTTGCAACAACAAAAAAAAAAAAAAAAAAAAAAAAAAAAAAAAAAAAAAAAAAAAAAAAAAAAAAGCATTTTGATAGAATTTAGTAAGCTTTATTTAATTTTTTAAAAAAAACTGCTTAATAGTTGTTCTTAACCATCGATATTTGAAAAGATAACAGAAAATTAATTACTTGAACAAATTTTTATAAAAAGTTTAGATTATTATTTTCAGCATAAATAATAAAACACAAATTCAATTATATATTGGTTTTGTGTTTTGCAGTTTCTGCTGGAATGGTTATGCAGTCTAACCATTCCAGCAGAAACTGATAAAGGGGTTGAAAAGTGTCCTTGAAAAACCTGCTATTACAAACCAAAAACTTTAGTTTGAGAATCTCACACCAGGGCACTTAGTTTGTCTGGAAATTTCTGAATGAATTGTTGATTTCAAGTCTTCTTTTGCTAAAGCTATTGAGCAATCTATGGAAATAAGAAAAACAAACTTGAAGAGTAATTCTTTTGTGTAACATGTAGTAGCATAGTGGTGCAGCATAGTAGCATGTATAGCAGTAGGTCTATGCAGACCTACACTATCAATGTCTTAATACACCAAATTAACAATAATTAGTAAGAACAGCAAAAGTTAGTTGTCATTAATTATTTATATTAACATTCTTTTTTCAACTTGCAATAAAATATGAAATTAATATACTTGTATTTTAATATACTTATATTTATATTAATATACTAATATTTTTGGCTTTGATTACTTCTACTTAAAGATAAAAATAAAAAATTTTAGTAAAAGGAACTTTTAAGTTAGAAAAGTTTTCAAATGACACTAAAAAAACAATAATTTATTTAGTTTTATTTTCAACTTCAGATAGTTGCTAAATATACTCTTTGGTTATTACAAAAGAAGAAGAATTTTGTCATTGAGAATGAAACTGACTAAAGTGAAAAACTAAGAAAAAAGAAAAGCTAGCAGTTTAGTCAAGATTCTATCCAAGACAAAGGAGTAGGAAAAAAACACTTCAAAGTCTGCTAAAATTTTTAATGTAAATTTTTAATTTACATTAACGATCTCCAAGAAATTCTTATATTTAAGGTAGCATTGTTCGCTGATGATACTACCATTTAATTTTGTCTTGATAAGAAGCCAATACTCTCTGATTGTTTGGAGGAGGTATTTGAGCTAGAACAGAATCTCACTTCTGCTACAACACGGGGCTCTCAGTGGCTGGTGAACTTTAACTCAGACAAAACTCAATTTTTTCAGCTAATCGTTATCACAACAATCTAGAACTTCCTATATTAATGAACGGTAATGTACTCAATGAGCCATCTTACCCATCTACTCTTACTTCTTACGCAGAAAGTTATGCAAAAACGCTTTTACAAATTACTTTGCACCTGAGACTATTGCCACATTGTAATATTTATGCTTCCTCTTTTCTTTTCTACAAATACTATAATAGACATTGCTCTAAAGAGCGTTTCTTGTGCCATCTACTTAAATTCATTATCTTTTCATTTAAATTCATTAATTCAAAAAATTTTCAAGAAAGTCTATAAAAATTGTTTATTTATAGCCAGATATATTTTTGGATAATAAAAATGTTTCTAGTTTTTTTTATAGAGTTGTTTAAAACCTAACCTAATATTTTTTGTAAATTTTGTGCATTTTAAAATTCTATGTGCTACTTTGCCCCAACTGTTATATTTTCTTTTAAATAATTCTAAGAGCACTAATTTTTATATAGACAATTTAATAAAGTTAGGCAGTGAATTTTTTTAAATATTTAAATATTTTAATTTTATTTTTAAAAAAAAAACAAATTTAAAATTTCATTTGATTTTATTATGTTGGTGTTACAGCAAAAGTAAAGCAAACTGAAAAAGTTATTATCAACATTTATTTTCTGGTTTTTACAAAACTGTTTTATTTTTAACTTATAACAAAAGTTTAAAAATATTAATTTATTTTTTGTTTGTTCTGAGAAAAATGTCAAATATATCCATGAAGTTGTTATTTTTAAGTAACTTATTAAAGCAGAAGAATTCAAACATAGTAGGATGCTCAGCCATTAAAGAAATATATTTTAACAACTGTAAACTCATTTAATTTACAAGAGGTGAAAGAGGATGCAAAAGAGGAGGAAAAACATTTGAAGCATAATAGATATGCATTTAAACAAAAATATCAAAAGATATGAAATAGTGGATGCTTATGAGTAGATGGCTTCGATGGAGCAGGACAATAATACAGATTTCAATCCTTTTTTTTTTTTAATGCTGACTCGTTAGATGCAATATTAAAAATGTCAGAGAGTGCTATCTTATCATGACAAAAATAGATGGTAATATCATCAGCAAACAATGCCACCTTAGATGAAAGAAGTTCTAGAAGATAGTTAATGTAAATTAAAAAGAGTATAGGGCAAAAGAAAGAACCTTGAAGAACCCCTGAGGGGACAGGATATGAAGAAGAGTGCTGTCTATCTAGGACAACTTTTATACTAAGATTGGTAAGGAAGGATTTAATAATCTTAAAGATATTACCAAATCAGCTGTAGAACGAATTAAAGACTCAAAAACCTTGCTTAAGATAGGAAGAAGACTAATGGGACAGTAGTTAGACAAGCCAGATCTCTCTCCAGAATTTTTGAAAATAGGGATAACAGATGCTGATTTCCAGCAGGCCGGAAAACAAGACTCTGATAAGCACTTGTTAAATAGTATTGAAAGTATAGACAACAGCTACAGAGAACACTTCTGCAAGACTATAACAGGTATGTTGTATTCTGTTTTTTGGGGAATTGTTTTGCTGATAGATATGGAAGTAATGGTTTCGATTGGCAATTGCAGCAGCACAATGTGAGGAAAACCATGGAGAAGAGTGAGGCTTGACTTGGAATCGTCGAGAGGAAATAAAAGATTTCATGCCAGCCTGAATCTAAAAAATTATGTAAAAAGCACATTTGTCAGCAGGAAGACAAAAGATTTTTACCCAAGGGCCATCATGCGTAAAATCACGGAATCGTGGAATCCCAATTATTTTCTTCCCTCTTACTTTTGTTAACCAATGGAAAATCAAATAAAAGTACTTTAATTTGAAGTTAAAAACTTACCCATGTATATGTTATATGTTACATAACTTAAATGCAAACTAATTAGCACTAATTGCACATATAAAGAAGGTTAATATCACCTTTGACATAAATACATCAAATGTAGTAAAGTTAATGGATAACTTTTATTGCAATAATTTTGAGTTTGATTTTTGCTATACCCCTGATAAGTACTGTGCTCAACTTTATATTATGTATTTCCGCACAGTGGCTCTGTTTGTCAAGGTTTTTGTTTAAAGAGCAGCTTTATTAACTGTAGCGGTCACCTTGAGTTTGGGGAGTTGAATACAGTAAAAAAAACAACTGAACAATAGATAATCTAAACATTATGAATACTTTAAATTATAACTAGTATATAAAAAATTTTACTTGAAATAAAAATGAGCCCAATACTGCTTTAAGACTTTTAAATTAAGTATTTTTTAAACTGTTGCTTCTTAAAATATGTGGATTACTTTTAGAATTAAGCAATAAAAATTATAAGTTTTTTTTTTTTAAAATTTAAATTATTTTTTAAAAAATACAGGAGGCTGCTAAAATCAAGGAGGCTGATTGTTTTTTTTTTAAACAATTTTTTTAATTTGAAAATCTCTCTCAATTATAAACAAGGCTATTGTGCACAGTAGCCTTGTTTAAAATTGAGATACAGGTTGATACTAAAAGGTTATTTGTGTTCAAACATTCAAAAGCACTAATCAAAGTTTTATTTTAAATCAGATTCTTTTTTTTTTCTTTTGTTGTTTAAAATAAATTTAATGCTTTGAAAACAAAACTTTAATTACTATGATTGCAATATCCTTTGCTTAGGGGAACTATAACTGAATCAGTAAATGTTAAAAAAGCGAAGTCCAACTATGTAAACTTTTGGGAAACTAAAAGAAACTGCACGTTCCCAGTAGTAAATTTTTATTAATGGTTTAAAAAAAAAATTATTGAACCATTAACAAAAATTTACTACAAGGGAAAATGCAGTAATTTTTAGTTTTCTGAAAGTTTACATTATTGGACCTCCACCCTTTTAACATTCAACTTTAAATATTCATATAAGATTATTTTAATTTAATAATTTATTATGTATAATAGGGGCCTTCCATAAAGTATGTATGCAGGTAGGGGTAAGGTGGTTACTCAAAAAATGTAGGAATATGTACAAGGGGAAGAGGTGTTAAAGATAGCAAGTATATATGCAATTTGATTGTCTCTCATTAAAATCTTTCCTAAAACTGGATTTTTTTTATTAACAAAATCAATATTATGTTAAGTGACAGAGAAATCTTGAAATAACTAAAAGTTTTTTTTTTTTGTTTAATGTTTAAATAATTATGTATTGTGGAAGGGGAAAAGTACAAACACAAAGGAGGAGGGGGTATTGAAAGCATACAGGTGCTTTTAAGGGTTGAGGGATGCCCTAAATCAGCAGTTTTACTGCATACATACTTTTTTTTTTTACAAGACAGGTTCAATTAAACTTAGTTAATTATTAGTTAATAAAAATAGTTAATATAAATAGTTAATATAAATAATTAAACATAATTCCAATTCAAAATTAATAAACAAGTGCTTCAAAGATTTATTACTAAATTTTTTTAGAAAAAAAATCTTTATTTAATTCAAAAAATAAGTCATTTATTTAATTCAAAAAGGAAGTCATTTATTTAATTCAAAAAGTAAGTCATTTATTTAATTCAAAAAGTAAGTCATTTATTTAATTCAAAAAGGAAGTCATTTATTTAATTCAACCTTAAGCTTGACTTTCTGACAACATGTATTTCAAATAGTTGTTGCTTACAGCTTTGTTAGAAAGGGATTCATTAAAAACAACACAAAAAACTACTTTAGACAAATACAACAGCCTAAATAAACTATTTAATAAAAACTCTAATTCTAAAACTCTACTCTTGTAGTATTTGTTGAACTAATAATGACTTATCAAAATTTAATAACTAAATACCAATTTAAATAAAACCAAAACTCAATTATTAAATTAAAAAAAGCAAACAGAATGTTGCTGAGGAATTTCACTGCTTTTAAATGTCAAAACAACGAAATCTCTTTAAACCTCACTTACCTTACCTTTTTTTACTCTAACTTTAAATTGGAAACCCATTATTTTATTTTCCTAAGAAACAAATTGATTTAATTAAGGCAGGGTTCAATTTAAGGGTCAGACATTGTCCCGCTAAAACCTCAGATTGTGTAATCAATTTAAAAAGTAATCGGACATTTTGACCGACAGGAAGTGAGTTCAACAAAATAAATACTTTATTATTGAAATAACTAAAGAAATAACCAAATTAATTCTATTGATTGTTTGATAAATGATTAATATTTATTTAAATTATTAAAAAGTGAAATTAAATTATTAAAAAGAAAAAAGTATAATATTTTTAAGTTGTATAAACATTTTTTTCAAGAAGTTGCACAAAAAAAAAATTATTACTATTTAAAAAAGTCTTTTTTAAATTGTAATTTTTAATCACATTTTTCACATTTGCTTTGATTAGTAAGTCAAGTTTAAAAAAAAAACAACAACTTTTAAACAGTTCTTTGTAAAATTAGAAACAAAAAAAATAAAGCAATTAAATAATGGGAATATTTAATTTAACTTATTCATAATTTAAAGTAACTAAAAACATATTATTTAAAAAGATTTTTAGAAAGATATGGAATAATAGTTTCAAGTGTTTAAATTTATCATAGAAAATACATACTATGTAATTATAATTAATTTTTGATCTTAATTAGAGGTGTACCGGATATATTTGCCAGATAGTAAACTTTTCTCAAGTTCTATAAGTGTTTACGAAGTAAAAACCAGTTTTGCCATTCTAAATTAAATAGTGTTCAAGATTTAAAAAAATAAAATCAATAAAAAACTGGTATAACATATAATATATGCATTAATAATGTTAAAAGAAAAATCATTTTTATAACCAAATTTTTAATTTTTTTAATTACAACTTTCTATACTTCATCAGCACATATACCATGCCATACAGTTTTTCACTGATTTTTTAAAGTAAGATCTAGAATACTATTTATTGTAGACTGCCAAGACTTGTTTTTTATTTCATAAACACTTATAGAACTTAAGAAAAGTTCACTATCTGACAAAAAATATCCGGTACACATCTAATTTTAATTAAAGCTTTTGCGTAAAATAAAAACTTTAAAAAAGAACAATAATTAAAAGTTATTCATAACATAGCAATTTTTTTTATTGCATTTAAATTGTTAAAACATCATAACAGCCATTGTCAAATTGTTAAAAATAAAACATTACTAAAATATACAACAATATGATCAGTTTAAAATTTAATTGAAACTATTTTATTTAAAAATATTTACATATATTTGCAATGAAATATTCTAAATAATAAGAAAAGAAACTTCACTAGACTAAAGTTAAATAGACAGAATACCATGGCACAGATTTCGATTGCATAACTTGGTTCCATAAAACCATAAAAACTTTACTTTAAAAATTTGATCGGACACAGTCCGACCCAAACAAGTTTTTATCAGGCATTTTGTCCGGGACTTTATAAAAAATTAAATCAAGCCATGTAAAGGTAATACAAAATTAATGGAAACTTTGAAAGGAAAAAAAAATCCTTACCACATAGCTTGCCCACAAACATGAAACATAAATACAAACACACGCAACAACTGTAGGTTTGTACTGAATACAAAATGTTGTCAAATGTAAGCTAAAACAGTCAAAACAATATAATTAAAATATAATTAAAAAAAAATAGGTATAGAAAAAGAAACAAAATGCATGTATAAAATAAGAAACAAAAGATTATAAATACAACAAAATGTATAAGGAGTTCTTTTCTTTATTGAAATTTATTCTAAAAGAAGAAAAAGAGATATAAAAAAGATTAAAAAAAGTATACTTACCTCAATACAGCACAGACATACAATGGAACCTTACTAGTAAATATTACCTGTTAGTAGCAAGGAAGTATGCTGTCTGTGCAAGATCTTTAGTCGCTGAAATGACAGAGGTACACTCGTCTTAATACTAACTGTGTGTAACCCACTGCCAAACAAACAACAAAAACCTCATGAAATATGCAGGGGATAAATTTACTTCACAAACAAAAATTATAACATTTAAATTTAAAAAATTATGACTTATTACTGACTAAATAAATTGTGGCTTGAGTATAACTTGGTTGTATACAAAACATAAGTTATTTTAAAAAAGTTAAATAAAAAATTTGTCAAATAATACAACTATATTATTTTAGTAATTATTAGTGAGGAAAATAACAGGCAGTTAATTTTAACCAGCTAGTTTAAAGAAACACTTTTATTACTTTTTAAAATAAACTCTTATGTTTAAAGATTGAGTTGTTTGCTTGTTTTTAAAGTCAAATAAGTTTTTAAAATTAAATTTAAAGTAAAACTTTAATGTACATAACTTAAGTGAATAATGTCACTCTTGAAACTTAAGACAATTTTTTTTAGTTTTATACAATGTTTTTAAAATCTTAAGTTGAAAATGGTTCGAAATCATTAAACAACACTATTTCTGTATTACATTAACTAATTAAATATATTATAAAATTTATTTTAATAATTATAAGAAATTTTAGGTTGATATAAAATTTAAAATGTTTTAAAAAAAAAATAATTATCAGAATGCTGCTTTTACTTTTAAATTTTCAATAAATACATTTTTAAGGGGACTTATTTGAGACATTAAAAAAAACTTAAGAAAAATAATTTAACACTATATATATATAAAACAAACATTAAATACTTGACTGTTCAATTTAACATCAGACCATAAAATTGACTGCCCACCATTATCATTACTAACAATAGCTATAAGATACTTTTAAGTGAGTAATATAAAATTATCTACTGTAAATAAAAATATCAAAACTTTTTTTTACTATTACTAGAATCAGTTTTTCTTTAATATAAATAACCTTTTAATATCAATATAAAAATAAAATTTATATCGGTTTATAGATATACAACTTGTAGCTCAGTCCACAATATATTCAAACATTGAACGTAAGCACACACAATACACACACACACACACAGATATATATATATATATATATATATATATATATATATATATATATATATATATATATATATATATATATATATATATATATATATATATATATATATATATATATATATATATATATATATATATATATATATATATATATATATATATATATATATATATATAAAGCAAGTTGTCCCACCAAAATAATTTTTTTTAAGTTTCTTATATAAGTATCAGATTTAGAGTTAAGTTTCTTATATAAGTATTAGATTTAACTTGCCACAAATATACTTAAAATAAAAATACGGTATAAGTCAACTCTTAAATAAATGACACTTTAAACATACCACAGACCTGGGTTTATCATATTAATAGTATTAAAAAACAGATATTCCGATAATCCTTTAACTAAATAGTTTTGAAAATGTTTGAATTTCATGCAAATTTTGGGGAAATATGGTGAGACAACTTTATAAAACCTAAAAATATGTTTAAAAAATATACAACAGCAAAATCTAATAACTATTTTTAAACACTACTTCTAAAAATTACAGCAATGAAAACAAAATACCTTTTACAAGCTGGGCACATTTAACTACATATGTATTTGGATGATCAATGGATACCTCAAAGCCTGAATTCATAAAAATGTTGTTAAAATAAAAATGTTATTAAAAACAATTGTAACTATATCACCAAGTTCTTTTGGCATAAGATAATAGAGCTCATTTGATTTAAAGTTTTTTTTTTTATCATATTATTTCATCTTTTTTTTTTTTACATTGACTACCTACTTATCCAAAATATGCCTGCAATTTCTAAATTACAAAAAATTAACACGCTTGTTTATCTATTTAAAACTTTCACAAATGTTTATAGCAGTTTCTACAATGGCATATTTAAGTTGCTTATGTTATTTATGCACACCAATTTTGATTTTTATCACATTTATGTCTTGCTTTACAGAGATGAGCATTTTCAGCAATAAACACAGGTAATTATATTAAATTTATATTATGTTTATTATAACACTTTCTAGTTAATTTCTGATGTTGAACCGATTGTGTGATTTTTTTAATTTATTGATGGAATTTATTTGTGCAATTTCAGCTTCATTAGACAAAAATAAATTCTTATCCAACTTTTTTTTATTTTTAATTTTTTACTACTACAAACAACACTGCAAGCAACTACTAATTATATTTGGAGTTATCATTAATAAGAAAAGGGAGTTAAAGAGCAAGAAAATAATTAGCAGAAGACTTTAAATTATGAGTAAGAAAAATGGTAGAGATTTCAGAAGCACTAAAGTGTGAGAAAAAAACTAAATTCTTTGCTGAATGACCTGTCAAACAAGATCATTAAATTTTTTAATTAATTTTTCTAGTTGAATTTCACAATATAAACTTTGACCACTTTAAACACCAGAATAAATAGGTTTATGTGACAAAAGATTAATTAATAAACTTATTGGTATCAATAATACAATATAAACCACTAAGATTCTTCTTGAGTCAAACTAGTTATTCCAACCAAATTATCTAGGAAATATCATGGCTCATTGTGCCAAACACATTATGAGTATAGCTCCTGCATACAAACTATAATTTGTTAGAATTTATTTTACAAAAACTAATGCCTGTTATACTTTTATTAAACAAATAGAAAAACTGTAAACTTTAATGAGTTTTTATTTGTATCAAATTTTATGAGTTTTCTAAAGAAAGTACTACTTTGCATTTACATTATTGAGCAAAATTTCATAAAGTCCACAGTGACGGACAGAGAAGAGTATAAACAGGTAATATATACATATGAAAGAGAAAACACTTTTAAACAATAAATATAGTTTATACTTAACAAGAATATTTGATAACATTTTGTAAGTACATAATTTTTTTATTCTGTAATTAATATTTTTTTAAATAACTATTGGGTTCATTGTATTTGTGAATTAAGGTGACTGATAGCTTTTAAAATAACTTTTAAGATTATTAAAAAAGACTTTTAACAGTATATCAGTTAGGAATTATAATTCAACAAAAAAGACTTAGGTAATAAGACATTCAAGTTATGTTTTATAGATAGCATAGGCAAAGGTAATATAAATGAACAACAATCTTAGAAAAATCTTGAATAAAGCTATCATTAAAAAAATTTTGATAATGAAAAAAAAAAAGTTATAAAAAGATACTAAACATTAAAAAAGTATACGAATTTTTACCATACCTAAAGTTTGTAAAAGAATGCTTTCATTATTCACAAGTTCAGCAGACAGTTGCATGTAATCCTAAGAGATGATATATATATATATATATATATATATATATATATATATATATATATATATATATATATATATATATATATATATATATATATATATATATATATATATACACAAAATCCTTATTAATAAAATGATTTTCATATATAATATACAACTATAGCAAAACTAAAGTAAAATCCTGTTCACTATTTTTTTAGCCTCCTGAGCCTCTCAATTTCTTCTCAATTACTAAAATAACTTGATAAACTTTAACATTCATTAAAATCAGATTGATTTAGCACAGCAGATAAAAAGATTTTTACTGTAGTTATTTTAACTCTTTCAGTGTAAAAAAATATATTCTTAATTCAATGTGTTCTAATCAGAACCATATATAATTAATAAAAGTATATTAATGATTTTTTAGTGCTATTAATTCTTACATCACTTTTGGTATCAAGAGGTAATTTATCTTTATGAAGACACATATGCGATACTTTTAAAACATGCTCTAATTTTCGAGGTTGATCTTCTACTTTTGCAGCCAGAAATACAAAACAAGGCGCCATTGCCTGAAAAACAACAACTTTTACAAATTTTTGGAAAATTTCTATACCATAAACCAAAATAAGTTTATACATACATTTCTATGCATTGATTGAAATGAGTGAAACATATAGAAACGATGCATGTAAACTATAGCAGTGTTAATCACCAACTGATTTCTAAAAAACCAAAAGTCAAACTTCAATGTCTGCCAATGATGCATATTTACAAAAAAAAAAGTTTTATAAGAATTTAAAAAAACAACATGGCTCTAAAGCCAGATCGTGCTAGTTTATAATATAATTCACTCTTGTTTGTAATCATTAACCATGCTAGATGATTTATAAAAAGAATCAAAACTATACCAATTCTATAACTTATCTTTTAAAACTGTTGTAACTTTAATTTACTTCTAATAATGATTTAAAATTTTTTTGTCTGTTAAGGTTTGTTAGAAAAAAAAAGATAAACTAAGCTTTACATGCTACTGTAATAAAAAATTATACTTTGTACATACTATTTCATTTAACAAAATTTTTATAAATGTTGTTCTAAAAAACTTCAATTAAAAAGCTTTAAATAGTTTTATTTCAAAGAAACTTTAATTTTGGGATTTTTAAACAAATGTTTTTTTTTTTTTTGTAAAAATACAGTGTTTTGATATATATAAAAGATAAGATAAAGAAATGTATAAAAATTTGTTTGAATGTTTAATTAAAAAAAGCACTATTTTGCATATAAAACAATAAATAAAATATTTAAAGTTCAAGTTATCAGTTTCTTATAAAATATGGATTAAAGACTTTATAGTCCAAGATTACTTTATTTTTGTTAAATTAATAGTTTTAGCACTTAGAATACTTTAGAATGCTCAGTTAGAGCACTTAAAATGTCTAGTGACTTCTGCATTTCATAAGAAAAAATTGTTAGTCCTGAAGGTTTTAAACACTCATTTTTAACCATTCACAAAAATAACATTGCAGGATCATAATTTAATTCACGCAATAATTTTTGAAACTCAGTTCTACATAATACAGGTTTATATAGACTGAATAACTCAAAAGTTAAATTTAGAACTTTCTAGTCAAAATTGTGATATGTCAATGTGTATACTTAAAAATATATATGCATTATGTCAACACTTAATATATGTATAATATATATATATATATATATATATATATATATATATATATATATATATATATATATATATATATATATATATATATATATCTATATCTATATATATATATATACACATATCTATATATACATATCTATACATCTATATATGTATATATATATATATATATATATATATATACATACATACATATATATACATATACACATGCATTAATATATATGTACACAGGCATAAATATATATATATATATATATATATATATATATATATATATATATATATATATATATATATATATATATATACACATATATATACATACAACTGATTGATTTTATCTAGCTATTTGATAGATAGATATATTCGCGTTTACATTTTTTTTTTTGCTACTAATATTCACTGAGACTTAACAACTCATGGTAAACCTTTTTCGCATTAAAGCTCACAACAATACAATTATATTCAGTACTAGGGTAGGGATATAATGTTGCAACAATAACTTATTTCAGTTTGGGTTTATCTAATTTTCTTGAACTACAGCAGTTTACTTATAAAATTATTTACACTTGTAATCTTTGTCCTATATCTTGGACTAGATTTGCACATTGTTGTCTGTAACCAAGCTCTTTAGCGAATTCAATCCCATCACGAACAGATGGGGTATTCCTAAGGTCTTCTTTAGTGAAGTACCAGCGATCAGTTTGATTCGCCATGGTCTTGGGAAAGTTAGTAGAAAAGTAGATTCTCAAAATCAATACGACAAAAGGATTGTGGGTTTAGTGACGTTTTGTCCGGCCGTACTACCGCGGCAACATGGCCGGACAAAAAGTAAAGTTGCATAAACGTAAAGATACGTGTAAATAAATGCGGGTTTTTGAAACGCGACACGACGTTGCGCTTCAAAAGTTATGATTCTTTGTTGTCGGGTTTTATATAAATTCACAATACTTGTGCGCCGAATTGAAATATTAAATAAAAATATCAAATGTAAATAAGTGCATCGAGTAATAAAAGTGAAATGTTGTATATAATAGAGTTATTGATAATAAATTAAATAATAACAAAAACAAGTATCGGTAGATTTTTTTACATTAACGTAAACAATTTACATCTTTCTTCAAAACTTTAACAATTCAAAAAAACTGTGATTCTTATGGTCCAAAAAATTATAATAAATGATTTAAAATCAAGTAATGCAGTATCAGTAATGCAGTGCCGTGGCTATTTGGTCGGACCGCCTTCCCCTCCCCTTTCTTCCCCCCCCTCCTCTTCGCCCTAAAAAAAACTGTCATTAGGGTTTTTTAAATTAGTAAAGAACTCCCTATATTCGGTGCCTCCTCCCTCCTTCTTCCAGGCTGAGGTAGCACTGAAAAAATAGAATGACTTTATTTAACATGTCTGCAGATTAATGTTAAGTAAAGCAACAAACTTGTTGAATATTATACTTATTTTCTTATAAGTATAACATATTTATTATATAACATTATTTTAACATTATTTAAAAAAAAAAAAAAAAATTTTTCGAATTATAAAAAAATTGTTTTAATATGCAATCATTTTTAAGTATAACCACTCGTTTTTATTTAGGTAGATACAATTACTTTTTTATTCCATTACCAGTACTTGGTATATTTTAGCCATTTTCAAATTTTATTTGAAGAAATATTTTTTAAATGAACTACTATATTTTTGACAATTGTCATTTTACTACAATAAATACAACTTTTAAATATTAAACTCTACCATCAAGAATACAACCCAACAATGACCTTTCTAAACTTAAAAAAAAAAATGCGTAGCGTAATAATATAGATTTTTAGTATGCTATAATTTGCCTTTAAATTGGTAAGCTTTTATAAAAAATTTTATTTGCACAGTTACATTTTAATGTATCTGTGCAAATATAAAATAACTATATTACAATAGAAAAACTACTGAACAATACTTATTTAATAAATAAGTAATCAATTATTGTTCAGTAGACAAACAAATAAAATACACCTCTTTAGTTAAAAATTTTTTAAAATCGTTATTTTTAAATGTTCTTCTTTATTATTTCATACAGAAGTTGAAAAAGGTGAACTTCTCCAAAGCAATTAAACAATTCAAGGAGTTCGGCCGTGATGGGATTGTTTTGGAAGAGGCCAAAAACGAACAGTAAATACAGCGCTGATGGGATTGTTTTGGAAGAGGCCAAAAACGAACAGTAAATATATATATATATATATATATATATATATATATATATATATATATATATATATATATATATATATATATATATATATATATATATATATATATATATATATATATATATATATATATATATATATATATATATATATATATATATATATATATATATAACTTATGGTCAAAAAAGAGCTCAACCTTCACCGCTACAAACTCAAGCAATGACAGCTTTTTAACGATGACAACAAGCAAGTTCAATTAGAAAGACGTCGCAAATTGCTCAAGTGGGCCGCAACCTCACACTGGGAGCGTATCTTGTTCTCCGATGAGAAACTCTTTTCTGTTGAGCAAAGATACAACTGCCAAAAAAATCAGATTTGGGCAAAGGCACTTCCAGGCACCTCCAGACAAATACAGTAAAAGAATGCAACTTCGATAAATGACAAGTCAAGCGAGAAAGTATTTTGGTTGATAGAAAGTGTTTTGGTTGGGCGAAGCCAACAAACAAAAATACCGCAAAATAACTCTTACTCTAAATGTGAAGGTAATGAGTTGATAAAATACTTTAATTTACTATCTTATACAACATTTAAATTTATTGAGAGGTTTTTAGTTTTATATAACAATCTTTTCGTTTTCGAGCGTTATGACTATGTGAATTTTCTATCATCCACAAAATGATGGGCAGGCCTAAAGCAAAAGAGGATTCAACAGGGGCATTTGCCCCCCTCCCCCCCCCCAATTATTTTTAAATAATTTTGATAAAAATTAACCAAAAAAATGATTAAAATAAAAAAGTCCTTAAAATTATATTTTGTTTTAGAAACTTTTTTCCCTTTCATTTGGGATCGCGGCTGTATTCCTTTTGAGGTATTTTTTATCACAGGCTCCAATCAGCGAAATTTTTTTCAAAGCATTTTTATATATAACATAAACATTCTTATACATGGCATAAACATGAAACTACTTAAATTTGGAGTTTTTACAATCCATGAAAGAGTCATTACCACAATATCGAAAAATCCTGCATCCGCCAACAAAAAAGAAAGAGATGCAACGTTACAACGATTCAACGATTGGATAGTGAGTCAAACTTGGAAGAACAAACTAATCCAACTACATTTACAATTTGCTTTTGGACTTTGTCAAGGTTGGCTGACAATCAAAAGTTATCTATTAAATAGTCTAGAAAGTAATAAAGAGAGTTCTTAAGTGCACTTTTTTAAGACTTTGATAGGAATGTTGTCTGATCATTGGAAATATTGTTGTCAAATCTTTATAAATTTCTTTACAAATCGAGTGTTAAAATTATGAAAAAGACTGTACACTTCAGTTGTTGAATCGCAGTCCCTTAATGAGATTCAAGCAAAAAGAGACAAGCTATGTTTTGCAAACTAATTATTGGTTTTAGTTAAGTTGTTTTGTAAAATCTTGCAAAACCTTTCACTGAGTCTGTCATAGGGTTGACTTGGCGTTGATCCATAACAGAAAAATATATTATTATATTTTAAGGCCCTTTATGAACTTGATAAGTAAAAATAAGCCACCTTTTAAAATCTCTGAGTAAAAGTTATTTTCTTTTGGATAATGAAACATTTCTTTGTGGATGTAATTTTTAAACTTATGTATGTTTATATATATTCCAAATGAGGATTTGAAAAAATTTTGCAGGGATATAGATGGTTGCCATATTGATTTTTACTAAAAAAAGTAGTCTGAAATATACTTTTTTTTTTTTAGATTACTTTCTTTAAGTAAAAGTTAAAAGAAGAAAATCCTTATATTAATAATCCAATATGCTTCTATTATGTTCAAATTTTTTTTTATATCATCTTTAATTAAAGTTTAAAATGTTAAACTGAAGTCAAGAATTCTCTAAGAATATATCTTTAGTTTCTATGACTTTATTCACCATGAAAATTTTGAATATTTACTAGGCATTAATTTCATCTTTTTACTTTGCTTTCTAATACAGGGTAAGTTAAAGTTAAATAAATGGTAATTTGTTAAATTGTCGACCAAAGTATGCTCCTGTCGTAAAAAAGGAAAGAAAGTCTTTTACAAGAAAAAAAAGTTTTTAACACAGATTTCAAAATAGTAGGTTTTAGATATTATTTTAACTTTTGCGTTTAACTTTACTTTTTTTTACTTTTAGCTTAATTATTTGATTGTATACAGTTTGCGCAATATACAGTCTTCTTCTTTGATATCCTAACTTTCTATTCAAAATTAATTGCAATGCAAGATTTTTTTTCTAAATTTATGTTTATGTTTTGAAATAATTTGTTTTAAAATAAGCGCATAAGCTTACCGATTGCTTATTTTACAATAAGTTTATTTTTCATAATTTATTTTATTAAACACGATAAAAATGTATCTGTCAGCCAGCAAAAAGCGTAAAAAAAGATCAGAAAATAACAAAAATAGGACACAGCATACTGGTAAGTTATGGAGGTGATTGATTTTTTTCCTAATTTTCTATTTCTGTATACATATGTATATCTATATGTGTTTGTATTTATTTGTATCTGTTATGTGTATATTTATATTTGTGTATACAGGTAACAATATTAAATTGTCTACTTTTTTTAAAGCCTATTTGTGTATATGTACTTTATTTTATTTTTGTTCTTTTTTGTCAGTTTTAATTTTTTTATATAGTATTACTTTTTTTAATGTTAAAAATTTTTTTTCTTATTTTTTTTTTTTACAGTTAAGCATTATTTTGTGCTAATTATGTTCTTCATTATTGCTATTTGCTTTACTTGTTGGCAGGGCCGACCCGAAGAGATTTTAATAGGGGGGAGGGGGGTGACGTAATTGTTTTTTGCCGACTAAAGCCAAAAATAAAATTTCCAAATAACTTATCTAAAAAAATAAAATGAAAAAAAGGTTCTCGTTGGCCGACATATGCCGACTGCCAACCAAATATCCCATTTGCCGACTCCAGTGTCCAATTTGCCGACTAATAAATTTCGTAGCGGGGCTAGACACCCCTCTACACCCTCCTCGGGACTGGACTGCTTGTTCGACACCAAAAAATAAATATTTTAAAACCCAAAAATTAAAAGACTGCCTTAAATTGTAATATTACTCAGACGTTTTAATACGCATAATTTTTTTTTTACATTTTTTAAAATTAGTTTTATGTACCTTGTTTAAGAGCACAAACAATGTACATTACCGTTCCATTTATTGCAAATGCTTAGAACATTTTGTATTCTACGACACAGTGTATGCAACAATAAATTTGACGATTTTAACTTTGTCCAATTCTCCCATAACCTTTTGTTTCAAATCACGTACGATTAATCACGTAAGTTGTTTCAAATCACATAAGTTGTTTTTTAAGATTGAAAAAAATTTTTGTGAACAAACCTTTGTTCACAAAGGTTTTAACCTGATTATGTATGTTTAACGAGATTGAAACTTTTGGCTGGACATTGCATTCATAATGAAACAGGTACAAGGCAAAATTCATTCACTGAACAAAAATTTAATATGAAACACTATTTTACATTATATTTTTGCCAATGAGGATGCTGTGCGTGTCTAATGCG